CCACCAAAACCCTCACAAAACTCGTCTGGTTCTAGACTTCCTTACTTTATATTTCTTTCGAAGGCTTTTGCAGGAAAGATCCTCCTTCCATGTGGATTCGATCCCTAAGTACTAAAATCGATCAGCTGTGCACTTGCGGCTATTGATTTCATTTAGGGTAAAACTTGACACCCTCGACACACACCACATCAGCAAGCAAGAGAAGTAAAACAAAGACTCCAATTCAAATATATAAAGCTAAACCTCTAGATGTGATCATTGATTAGGTTGCTTTCAATGCTAATTCATGATGCTAAGCAAACAATGCAACAGTTGCTAATATTTAGTCTAGACTTATAAATCAGATTAATTCACTCTCATAAAAAAATTTCCTTTGTTAATCATCTAATCAATTAAGACTAATTCTCATTAGTGAAAAGACAATTAACAAGCATGATAATCAAAGTCCAATATGACCAAACAGCCTCTTTATGCATCAGAACAATGAGCTAAGAAAGACTGAATATTATACAGTAAGATAAAGCAAGCATCACATGATCTCCATTTCCAATTAACTTAGAACTCAAAGCAAGATCATTTCTTTCTCAAGACAATGATCACAATATTAATCAGCATTCAAACTCAATTCTCATTAGTGTAATGATGATCAATATGCATTAGTAAACAGTTTTAACATGTTATTTATGCTCAAGAAAACATTCTCAAACATAAACCATTAAGTCAGCTCATGCAGACATTTCATCAAACACCTTGTAGGTGGAGAAATGTCTATGAACCCAGATTTCTTTTTCTCAAGGAAACCTGGCATTAAAAGCAGCTAACTAAGGAAAGAAAATGAGAATCTATAACTTAAATATCATAAATTAAACACCTAAGCACCCTAATATACACACCTAGAAGCTTAAAAGAAGACTACTCACTAATCATGCTTAACACACCATTTCCTTTGCAAGAGGTGATGTTAGTCATGATTAGAAGTAAAGATAATAAATGATAAGAAACAGCCTTGAATGATTAAAAACGAGGTATCTCTTAACAAAGAACAAAGGTTTTCACCCAAAGAGGCAAAGAAACAAAGAGAAACAAAGAGAAACAAAAAGTGATCAAAAGATCCTAAGGGTTTTCTCCCAAAAACCTATATATTCTAAGGGGTCTGGACTGGATCAGCTCAGGACAAACTGGGTACTGACCCTGCTTTAACGGCTCAGGAAGAGATTACACCGAGCTGCATTTGGCCGATGTATATCTTGGTGTGAAAATATGCAATATGCTCTTAAGATTGAGTTTATACCGAGCTTCATTTGGCTGGTGTGCATCCCGGAGTAAAAGTGTGCTTCAAGACTACGAAGATTACACCGGGCATGATTAGGCCGGTGTACATTCTGGAGTGAAAGAGGTGACTCAAGAATACAGAGATTACACCGGGTTTCACCTAAGGATGATCTTGGTCGGAGTGGAAATGACCTTCGACACTATGGAGATTACACTGGGCTTCACCTCGAGATAATCATGGTCGGAGTAGATTAGAAGCAAAATGGCTATAAGGTTCAGCTTAATCCGAACAAGATACCCCGGTGTACTCCCTGGTGAAGGTTCTGAAGTGAGAAATCCCCAAGATATAGCATACTTCGGCCATCATTCTCCCGGTACTTATCTCGGTGTGGAAATGGACCCCCTCGAACTTAAACTGCCATAACTTCCTGCTCAGTGATTTGGTACTCGATTTTCCAGCTCCAGAAACTCAATCAGATCCAACTTTGATGAAGGGACCATATGCATCCGGGGAAAGCAAGGCTTCTGGTAGAACAGTTCTTTGAGGAACATTGCACTGGTTCGGAATGGCTGCAAGACAGGTTCATCTTCAAAACGCTGTATCTTTCAGCTCACTACTCCAAATCGCCTCATTACAAGTGTTCTGGAAATATTACCGGCTCCTCTACAAACTTGGTGAAGACACCGGAGGCTAAATCGAGGTGTAAGACCTCTGTCTCAGGCAATCTTTCAAGCATATCGCCAGGTGAAGATACTTGTCCGAGCCCATTCACCAATACAAGGGCTTTCTCCAAGCGGTCTCAGCTCCATCAGGTCCCCAAGTGCCTCCAAAGTACCTAAAAATCACTCCAAATATGCAAGATTCTTTGGGACTTAATGCATTTCCTACAAAAGCTAAAACAAAGACAAAACTCAAAGAAAACTACCTATATGACTACATGAGACTCTATTCTTGGACCAAAAATGCATCTTAAGTATGCAAATATATGAAAATATCAAAATCCAGTTTCCAAATTCTTTTGCATGACGATATTTTTCTGTTGATCGTACGAAAAGAAGATTGTATATTGTGTGGTTCTGAGTTCTAAAATTATTTTCTGAATTTAGTGTAAAATTGTTTCATTTCATGATAACGAACAAATATATTATAAGACACCAATTAATTCTACATTTAGGAGTACCAATGGTTGCATGAGAACTATTAAGAATTAGGTTCACTATTTAACGATTATATGTTATATATAACGATGTTAAATCAATTAAACATTGGACTAAAATAAAATTCAAGATAACTAACCCTCAAACGCTGGATTGTAACTAAAAACACTGGATTGTAACTACAAACATTCTATATTTCATTCACCGAATTTCAACAAAAAAAAAGTATCAAGATCAAGTAATAAAATGATCTATAGAATAATGACATAGAAATACATACAATTGCCATAATAAACTTCCTATAATATGATCTATGCCCGTCTATGTATTAAACACACATTCGAATTTTGTTATATAGCTATTAACCGTTAATAAGATTAATTAATGGTGAGTAGAACTATATATAATTACTAAGAGTTAGATTAGTTTTTGTAGGTATTCATTGATACAATATTATTTTTATTTTAAGTCTAACTAGATTCTAACCCCGTGCGTCTATCCGGGAATTTTTTATTTTTATTTCTAATATAATTTTTTTAATAGATTTTATTTTTTTTATTTATTTTTTTTAATTCAAGAATTTTGTTATCATGTTTTAATTTTGAATAGTATAGATTTATATATTAGTAGAATAAGAATATGAGTTAATTAAATATATATTGATCTATAATGTTAATTATGAACTTTATGTAAATTTAGAATTACACGTAAACAATCTATATATCTATGAATTAGCTAACCTGTCCATTTAGTTATCTCAAATCATTTTTTAGTATCTTACATGTTTTGATAAACTAATCCGTATAAAATTGTTATTATAAATGTATAATTTTAACTTGCTCTATCATATTATTGTAAAATATAAATATTTATTAATATTAAATATTTGATGCTTTAGACGGATTGATTATGATAAACAATACAATAAAATATTTGTTTACTATTTGTGCTATTATGAAAATATTATTTAAATTCAAAATTTTAAATTAAATCTAACCTGTATTTAAGGAATTCTAAAGTAATTAAAATATCATCTAATTTTGTAATAAAATCTATTAATAATTGTTTAGAATTTTAAATTAAATTGAATCTAAATTTTTGTAATTAAATTTAAGTAATAAAAATTTCGAATATTTTAAAATAGAAATTAAATATAACCTATATTTAAGGAAATCTAACAATATCTAAATTAGTAACCAATTTTTGAAATTAATTATAATATAAAATAAAATAATAAAAAAAATTTAGGTGTGTTTGAAAACAGACACTAAAAGTGCTTCTGTGTTAATATAATAGATAATAACTTATTTTGTGTATCATTGTATTACACGTATTCTAATAGTGTCTATTAATATTTCAGGTCCAAGATGTCTGGAGATGTTGCCAGAGAAAAGTCCAACAATTGAAAATGTATTCTCTAATTTTATCTGCAAATTAATTATTTAAAAGTTAACAAACTAATATAGATTTAAAATTCATATTTTTTTAGAAACATGTGATATCTGTATTTGAAAAGTCAATCCTAATATATAAATCATTTTTAGAGAATATAATTTTTGGAGATTTTAGTTTTAAAATCATCATTTAAAATTTTACAGAATAATGCAAATTTAACATGAATAATTGTACAAATTAATTATCTGAAAATTCAATATATGATTATAAATATGAATATTATATATAAATAACAAATTTATATTTAAAAAATTTAAAACATTTATGTTTGGATATGATTAGGGCTGGAATTATTATCCGATATCCGGTCTCCGATCCGGTATCCGGTCCTATCCGATCCGTAAAAACCGAATATCCGTAGAGTTCGGATCTGGATCCGGAAAGTGAAACTAAGTATTCGGTTATTTCGGATACGGATCCGGATAATAGAAAATTTTGAAATCGGATATTCGTTATCTGTTTATTAAGTATTTATTTATTTTGATAATATTTATTAAAATTCATATTGCATAACAATTTTCTATTTTAGATTGTGAGAGAAAAACATGAAAATGGATAACACATGGATATGAAGATAAATTACCTTTCTTATTACTATTTTTTCTTTTGTTACGTAAGCTTTTAAACTTTATGTTATTTGAATGCTACTTGAAAGCTTTTTAATTTTTGGTATTTGTAATTTTTGCTATGTTGATACATTTTAAAATTATATATATATTATCTTATTATAATTTCTAAAAATTGAAGATTTTTTTAAATCAACGAAACCGGATATTTGGTCGGATATCTTTAAATATTTGATTTAAACCGAATATTCGGTCTCTGGAGTTTTCGGATCCGAATCCGGATAGTAAAATTGATTATCCGGTGAATCCGGATCCGGATCCGGATACCTTGAAAAGTCTAGATATCCGGTTCCGTTCCAGTTGCAAACAACCAGTTAGTTAAGGTGAAACTGATTGAAGATAATCTATCTTGTGTTTTTATTTTAAGCTTTTATTTTATATTTTTCACATGCCAAATGGCCGAAATGTCCCAAATCTCTGGAGAAGTTGTTTCGATTTGTAATTGGATTATATGTATCTAAAATAATCTTTAACTAATTCAAAGCTCCAAAAAAAAAAATTCGTACAAATATATGAAGAGAAAATAGAAAACAATATTAATTGAATAAAAGAATTACACTAGATTGAATATTATTTTCTACTACAGAGACCAAGACCCAAACATTAGATTCTTTCTTTGTTTTTCTCAAACCATAATAGAGCAAACCGACGTCGTAGGATCATACAAAGCAGGAAGCAAAAACTTCCTGCCGTTTGCACCATACGCATTAAAACTACCTCCGGTCGTAGTATCCACAAGCAGATCCCCAGCGTAACCAGGATAAGCTCCTTTCCCATAAACGCCAGGACACGCAGACGCAGCTTCGAGAGGTGCGTTTTGTGGGCCCTGGTAATAACCATTACCAAACGGGTTCGTCGCGGTTCCGGCTAAGAGACTGGCTAAGTTAATCACCATACCGTCGAGTCCAACGTCGTTGTTCGGCGCCACGAGCGGCGGGTTCTGAGGACCGTAAACCGGCGCGTGAAACGGCCACGCGCATTGACCCGGACATTGCGTTTCGGAGTTTCCGACCCAAATGTAAGCGAATTTGGAGCCCCGTTTACCCGCATTATTACCACGAGCGTACCCGTGGGTCCCGCATCGACTCATACCGAATCCTGTCACCGCCACGTCAGCTGAAGTCAATACGACGTTGACTGCGTCGTATTGAGCTCCTTTAGAAGCTAGTTTGCGGATCTCTCTATCGGTTAGAGATTTTCCGAGAGAGTAAGCCTCGTCGAGGATTTGGGTCTTGAGAGTGAGCGAGAGAGATGGTGAAGAGGAAGAAGAAGAAGGGTTTTTATCTCCTGCCGCGAGTTTGTAGTATTTCTCTGTGGTTTTCCACCACGTGGCGACAGATGGTTGGTTGAGAGTTTTTGGAGATGAATGTGAGAGTGAGGTGATGAAATCGGAGATAATTGCTCTTTGAGATGGCTTAAAATTGCCGTACCAGATTAGGTTAACGGAGATTTTTCCGGAGAGAAGAGCTCCTTTGTGGTATTTCAATAGTTGAAACTGGTTTGATTCTCCTTGTTCTGCTAGTTTCCTAGCAGAGATTGAGATTTGGAAGAGACAGAAAACCAGAAAGAGTTTAAAGACTAACGAATACATTTTGTTTTTTGTTTTTTTTGGTGAATGGTTTAAGAGACGAGAAGAGAGAGAGATGCTTTTGCTTTTGATGTTTTAGATAGGTTTGTGAAGAAATGGGGAGTGTGATGAGTGTTATTTATATGCCTTTGTGAGTGGATGCATATTTTATCGGATGTCTACGAAGGGACAGTGGATGTATATTTTATATTCAAATAAAATTAGATTTTGAAATAGAAATGATATTAATAAAGTGATGTTTATATGCTTTAAAGTGAAAGAGGAAGGGAACTTGCAGAGAACAAGGAAAGATGAAAAAAAGAGAGAGTAATGGTCCATTGTACTGTTGCCAGCTAAGGAATGATCCATAGACCCACACTTTTTTTTTTTCAATTAAAACTTTGGTTTATGTTAAAATTCAAATTTTTTAAAGTTATTATTTTGTAAGCTGTCATTATAATTGTGCAGTGCTTTTAATGTCTTTCATTACAAGTTTCATGCAAATATGTACTACTTCACTTTCATAATGAAACTTGTTTTAAGCTTTTATTTTTGTAAATAGAAAAAAATAATTTTGAATATTTTATAATGTACACTAATACGAGTAAAACGGTTTTATTAAGAATACTTCATCATATAAAAAAATATGACATCATTTGAAAGTTACTTGATAACTCACTTATGAAATATTTTTTGATTTGGATAAGATTCTCGGAGGCTCGAATGAGACATAGGATTCTTGTGGTAAAATAATATTAATGTACAGAATATGTTTGTTAATTTAATAAATAAAAAATGAATCAAGTTGGAAGTTGGAATGAATCAATTAAAAAACTATAGCTGTTAATGGGAGTAATACATAATATTAATATGTATTATATACACTGTAAAAAATTAATAACGTTTTTTTTATTTTGTCAGAATGAGTTGATGAAAATAGAAAAAGAGGTATCACAATTGACCGTATCGATAAAGTGACGGAATATATAGTCATATACAGCTTAGTTACAGACAGTATTAGTTTACAATGACGAAGTTACCCTTGTTAGCGAGCTGTGTTTGTCAAGGCTTAAAGCGTGTGGCAGTTAAAGAAAAATGTGAAACTTCCGAGAGACGTTGAGGACTTTTAATTTTTGACAGCCTGGATAATATAAGTAATATGAACTTGAGCAAAAAAAATTATATGTTATGTTTTTTTAGTATATAAACAATTTTACGATAGACAATTTTATAGAAGTTCTAATTACCTAAAAAAATGTAGTTAACCAAAAAAAAAACTGCATGAATTTACATACTTTTACAAAGAAAATTACTTGGAACAGAAGAAATCGAACTGATCCAAATTAGAAAGAACTAAACCAAATTTAACTGAATCAAATCCATATACGAATATTGAACTGAACCAAACTGATATAGAAATAAGTATCCAAAACACAATTATACATAAAATATTTAAGTATATTTATATTTAAAATAATCGAATGTAATTTCTCTCTTTACATTTTTCTGTATATAAAATTACATGGAGATTTAGCATGTGATCCAGCAAGGAAGTTTACTCACGGTTGATCTCGGTAATTTCAGCATTTATACGGACCATATGGGTATGTCATAATCTCTGTAATGTAAGGACCCGATGGAGAAAAGTTTTTTTGGAATGGGATCTGTGATTCCCAGATCGGACAGGAAAGAGGAATCTCTTCAGAATATGTGGAGAGATCCACAATTAAAAGTCAGCATCCCAAATCACAAAGGATCAGCGCAGGAAGAGATTCGGGTAACACATGATTTCTCAATATATGATTGCCGGATCTGCACTGGAACTAAATCGATTATTTTGACTATGTATAGAAGCCGGAATCTCGATCAGATACAGACGGTGTGTCGCAATCGGAATACTAAGTGGAATATTTGGGAACAATCTGGGATCTATGTTTGGAATACACTCTATCAAATCGAGGATCTGGCTCCACCTATGAGATTTGCTTTGTGCAAGCGAAGGGATATAAGAGCAGGGGGAGATCGTAATGATTTACATCACACAAACTCCTCCAAACTTTTTTCTCTTTTCTCTCCAACACACGGTTTTTCAATAGCGGTTAAGGCAATGTCTCAAAGCAATTTGCTTAAACACCAAGGGTCGGGATCACAAAGTTCGGTCTCTCAGAAGAGAATGAGAATCACGGTGCCACATTTCGACAACACCAAGTTGATCGAAGCCTATGCAAAAACACTGATTGGTCTATGCATGAATCTCCAAATGCAAGATATGAAAGCACTCTTGTACATGCTACCAAGGATATGGAAGATGGAGGATAGAGTTGCGGGTGCTGACCTGGGTCTTGGTCGATTTCAATCTGATTTCGACAGAGAGGAGGACATCAAAGAGGTTATGAAGATGGAGCCATTTCATTTTGACTATTGGATGCTGTCATTAGTGAGGTTGTCACCCATTGTGGATCCAAGTTACCCATCGCAGATCAAGTTCTGGGTCAGGGTCATCGGAGTTCCACTTCATTTCTGGGCGGATCTAACTTTTCGCACCATTGGGAAAGGGATTGGGGATGTCAAAGCAGTGAACCTAGATGAAGGGAAAATTCAGGTTGTCATCGATGGCTTCAAGCCATTGTGCTTTGAGACACTGGTGGAATTCCATAGCGGTGAAGAGACAACAGTCTACTTGAGGTATGAAAGGCTATTTGGATTTTGTCGGATATGCCTCAGTTTATGTCATGACCAGCAAAAGTGCCCTACAAATGCGGTTTTTGGCGAACAAAAATCAGGAGAGGATCGATTTGATGACCCACAGCAAGGGACTGGTGGAGCATCTTACAAAACGGCGGTGACCTATGGAAGTAAAGGAACTAAGGATGCAGGCAAAAATGGAAGTTACGGGGTTTCTAGCTACAATCAGTACAAAGGAAAAAGGAAGAACTATGAGGCCAAAGAAGAGGAAAAATCAAATCATGCGGAAGAGGGAAATACACAAAGGAAAGGGAGAATGGAGTGGAGGTATAATGAGGGATATAACCGATCGTACAAGGCATCAGGATATGTTCCCACAGGAGAAAGGAATGCGACACAAGCGGCGTCATCATCAATGCCGGGTACAGAGAAACCAGCGGAAGTGGTACAGGAGATTGCTGATACCAAGAAGTCATCCCACGCAGATGCGATCGAGGATTCTCTGGAGGATGGAGAGGTGGTTAAGCAGATGGAAAAAGAGATGACTGATGGTGGTGGAAAACCAAACAAGATGGTGAGGAAAAGTTTAATGTTTGAGGATGAAACCTTAGTGGAGCATGAAGCGATGGTCAATACTCTTAGAGACCAGCGGGAAGGAGTTACAGCCGATATGACTGGTGCAGCCGATATGATAAATGAGCTAATGACGGATGCTGATATTGAGGTTCCAAATCTTGGTCTTATGGACAATATTTTGGAGATGGAAGGAACACAAATGCAGGAACTGTTCTTGGATATGGAATTGGAGGCATCGCAACAGATGCTAAGTGATGAACATTTCTTGGTGGAAAAGGGAGAGAGAGGGGAGGTAGGAAAGGAGAGTACAGAGATAAAGGCATGTGAAACAGAAAAAGTGGTTGAGGGTGATAAGGAAGTTATGGCGGAAGCAAAGAAGGCAGAGGGGAAGAAGAAGATACTCAAAAAAACCACCAACCAGTTAGTTGGCGGCTCTAAGAAGCGCCTGGTGCAGGCACTGGTATCTCCTCGGAAGAAACATGTGGGTAAAAACATTAACCGGAAAGGGGAAGGAGCAACAACAACTGCTTTTAAGGGACCATCACTCCCGAGTATGGAGCAGAAGCCAACATCGGAGGTAGTAGATGAGAGTACTTAGCTGGAACTGCCAAGGGGTCGGAAGTCATTGGACAATAAGCTACCTTAGGGAGATTTGGAAGAAACACCGACCTGAATTCTTATTTCTTTCAGAAACAAAACAGGAATTTTCTTTTATGCAAAAGTTTCAATTTCATTTTGGTTATAATAAATTGTACACGATGGAACCGAATGGTACAAGTGATGGTCTTGCTTTATACTATGATAATTCTTTTAATGTCAACATTTTATTCTCAAATAATAGGATAATTGATATTGAGGCAATGGTACAAGGAAAAAATGTGTTTTTGACTTTTATTTATGGAGATCCGGTGCCAAAAATCAAGGGATCAGGTTTGGGAACGCCTGACTCGGATAAGCCTAACTAGGACAGAACCATGGTTTATTATTGGAGATCTAAATGAAATTTGTGGCAATCATGAAAAACAAGGAGGAAATCTTCGAAGTGCCTCTACTTTTGTGTCCTTTAACCAAATGATAAGGGATTGTGGTTTTATAGAATTCCCATGTTTAGGAAACCAAATGTCATGGAGGGGAAGACGGAATTCCCAGATTGTCAGGTGCAGACTAGACCGGGCACTGAACATTGGCATGATCTTTTTACACAATCGTATGTGGAATATCTAGCAATGATTGGCTCAGACCATAGACCAATAGTTGCTACAATCGAAGACAAAATACCGAAGAGACGGACACAATTTCGGTTTGATAAACGATGGATTGGTTGCGATGGCTTTATGGACTCAATTTCAAAGGGATGGGACATACCCCTGTCAGGACGCAATGGGGCAGTGGTGGAAAAACTCATCAATTGTCGCCGAGAAATCTCCAAATGGAGGAAAAATACTTTACCATTTGGTAAAGAAAAAATAAATAATCTCCAAAAGGACCTAGAGGAACTACAAACTGATGATAACCGAACAGAGGAGGAATTAACGGAAGTAATAAAGAAACTAAAGGAGGCATATCGAGAAGAAGACATATATTGGCAGCAAAAAAGTAGAAACCAATGGGCAACAGTAGGGGATAGAAACACAAAATTTTATCACGCGCAGGTTAAACAGCGACGGGCAGCAAACAGGATAATTGGTCTCTACAATGATGGAGGAGATTGGGTTTTAACAGAAAAAGGGGTTGAGCAAATTGCGGTTAAATATTTTGAACGATTATTCACTACGACTAATCCGACGGATTTTGATCAGGCTCTCCAGGAAATTACACCAATGATCACGGAACAACAAAATGAAATGCTAACAGCAAAGGCTACAGAGGAGGAAGTAAAAGCAGCAGTTTTTATGATGAATCCAGAGAAAGCGCCAGGTCCAGATGGAATGACAGCACTCTTTTTCAAAAGGCCTGGCACATAGTAAAGACGGATATAGTACATTTGGTAAATGAATTTCTAGAGACGGGGAGTTTTGACAAGAGGTTGAATGTGACAAACATATGTCTAATCCCAAAAAAGGAGCGACCTACGCGGATGACAGAATTGCGACCCATAAGCTTGTGCAATGTCAGCTACAAAATTATCTCAAAGGTTTTATGCCAAAGACTTAAGAGATTGTTGCCTAAGGTTATCTCGGAAACACAATCGGCTTTTGTGGCGGGGCGGTTGATCTCAGATAATATCTTGATAGCGCAGGAGATGTTCCAAGGTTTACGAACCAATAACTCATGTAAAGGAAAATATATGGCAATAAAAACAGATATGAGTAAGGCGTATGATAGAGTTGAGTGGTCATTCGTTGAGAATTTACTGAGGAAAATGGGCTTTGCGGAGAAATGGATTACTTGGATGATGTGGTGTATTACTTCGGTACAATATAAGGTCCTTCTGAATGGTCAACCTAGAGGTCAGATACAACCACAAAGGGGATTACGCCAGGGTGATCCGCTATCTCCTTATGTTTTCATCCTTTGCACGGAAGGTCTAATCTCAAATATAAAAAAGCAGAAATGGACAAAACTCTAACCGGATTAAAAATAGCAAGAGCAAGCCCAGCTATTACACATCTACTGTTTGCGGATGATAGTTTATTTTTCTGCAAAGCAAATACGGAAGAATGCCAAAAAATTCTACAAATACTTAAACAGTATGAATCGGTTTCTGGACAACAGATAAATTTTGAAAAATCTTCAATTCAATTTGGCCATACAGTCCCAGTAGCAATTCAAGATGAGCTAAGAGGGCTTACAGGAATTGATAACATCGGAGGAATGGGAAAATATTTAGGCTTCCCTGAAAGCTTGGGGGGAGCCAAAACAAAAACTTTCAATTTTGTTGCGGAAAAACAACAAGACATAATAAATGGTTGGACAGCAAAACTCTTATCTAAAGGGGGAAAGGAGGTATTGATAAAGTCAATGGCATCTGCAATGCCTACATTTGTCATGTCATGTTTTCGATTACCGAAATCCATAACAACGAAACTTATAAGTGCAGCAGCCCGATATTGGTGGAGCTCGAACGGCCAACAAAAAGGAATACATTGGTTAGCCTGGAAGAAAATGTGTCGACATAAGACCGCAGGGGGTATGGGTTTTCGATCAATAGAGAACTTTAATACGGCACTACTCGCAAAGCAACTCTGGCGATTATTGGACAAACCGGACTCTTTATTTGCAAGGGTCTTCAAAGGAAGATATTATCGAAACGGAAATCCACTGGATAATATTCGCTCTTACACCCCTTCTTATGGGTGGCGGAGCATGATATCGGCTAGACCTCTGGTTCAAACAGGACTAATCAAAAGAGTTGGCTCAGGGTGTTCGATCTCAGTATGGAATGACCCTTGGATACCAGCTTCTCGCCTGAGGCCAGCCACATGTAAAGGGTTTAACTACTACCCAAATCTAATGGTCAATCATCTGGTTGACCCGGTCACTCAAACTTGGAACCTATGATTGCTTAGTGCCATCATTGATCCAGTAGATGTGGAAATCATTCGCGGAATACCCACGAGTTGTGTCTATCGACCCGATACACTAGGATGGCACTTCACGAAATCAGGTAGATATACGGTTAAATCTGGATACCAGGTAGAACAACAAAAATCAGAGGACAGTATGGAAATTTACTATGGTCCAGAGATAAAGCCACTACAGGCACACATCTGGAAACTACGGTGCTCACCAAAATTGAAACATTTCATTTGGCAAGCACTATCGGGCTGTTTACCAGTACTGGCAAACATAAAGAAGCGAACTGTGACACTTTGTGCGCTCGTTGTGGAACGGAAGAAGAAACCACAAATCATGTTCTATTTGAATGCCCTCCGGCAAGGCAGATCTGGGCTCTCTCAAAGATCCCAACACCCTTGGATGTCTTTCCAATCTCATCGGTTTATGCAAATTTTGATCATCTATTTTGGAGAATCCCCCAGGAATACAAAACAACAGATTTTGCATGGATCCTGTGGTACATTTGGAAAGCAAGAAACGATAAAGTTTATTCACATATTGACAGAGATGCACAAATAACTTTGAAGATTGCGGAAACAGAAGCAAGTATCTGGAACGAAGCACAAAAGGAGGAGAAACAGGTTGGAAATAATATCGGAATTATGGATCGAGTTATCACGCAGTATGCAGGATGGAGATGTTTTACTGATGGATCCTGGACGGAAACAGAAAAAGCTTCCGGTTTAGGTTGGTATTCGTGAAAAGAAGGCGATGCAAAGGTTGTTATGGGTGCAAGAAATGTCAGGCGAAGCTTATCTCCGCTTCATGCAGAGCTGGAAGCCCTCATTTGGGCGATGCATTGTATGATAGCAAACAACAAGATGGAGGTAGCGTTCGTCACAGACTGCTCCGAGTTGGTGAAGATGGTGTCTATACCAGAGGAGTGGCCAGCGTTTGGATTACACCTAGAAGAATTTGAGAGGAGTAAAAGGGTTTTCACTTCCTTCTCTATATCCCTTATTCCACGAACGAAGAATATGAAAGCAGATCTCCTAGCACGCAGTGTTCGAGTCTACCCTCAAGACATGATCTATGTAAACTCAGTACCTCCAAACTGGACTTCTATGTTCTCGTAGGTACTTAGGCTGTTGACAAAAAAAAAAAAAAATCATTCTAAAAGTTATAATTATAAATTCGAAAATTATATTTTTTTCCCACATATTTCAGATAGTATGAATAGTTTTTTTTAGTATTTCAAATAATCAGATAATTTGGATAATTCAGATAAAATGTTTTGATCTATATTAATCTGAATCTATTTTAGATTCAAAACGGTTAATCAACCTATCTTACAAACTGGTTTGAACCAAAAGTTATCAAACTAATTTTTTTTTTGGTGTAGTTTCTAAATCATTATATCTGAAATACCTGAAACCTGAAAAAACCAAGTTCAATCAAACTGAATAACCAAACTTGTAACCCTAGTTGAATAAACAATTTTAGTTTTGATAAACGACTGCATTCTGCTACAAATTTTCCCGTAACTTCTTTTATTATATTTGAAAACTGAATTATATACTCTTTTTCCCATATTCTTTTTTGAATGAATAAATATAATATTCCACTTCTATAAGAAAGTGGGTTGGGAGAAATATGGGAAAGAGTGTACAGCTGGCAGTTAGCTGATCGAGAATGAACCTAATTCACAGGGAGAGAGAAGCATTCACTTGACACGATGTTGGCACGTGACATCACGCGCTTCCACATCATCAATTTGTGAGCACTGGAAGAAGGTGAAAGCTCGTGATTTGGATCTTGCAAATACATTAGCTGTTCAATGGTTGGCTACTTGGCTCTCTCATACATTATTCGCCTACCGCACCCATTTTAAGTTTTTTTTTTCTTTTTTTTTTCCTTTTTACAAATTATAGTTTTCTCTTTTATTCACTCATAATTTCATTGTCAAAAAAGAAAAAAATACCATTCATTTTTATATGTGTACATTTTCCTTTGTACATACTTATAATAAACAAAATATTATAAAAATAACGAAACGATAATTTCCTTAAATCGCCCACCCAAAAAAATACTGATATAGTA